AAAATAAAATAAAATAAAATAAAATAAAATAAAATAAAATAAAATAAAATAAAATAAAATAAAATAAAATAATCTTAAATAAAGTAAAGAAAAATAATAGATGAGTCTAAACTGAAGTGTAGATAATTAAAAAAGAGCATTTTTAAATAAAATTGTACCTCCTTTGTTACATAAAACCCGTCTGANTAATAAAATAAAATAATCTTAAATAAAATAAAATAATCTTAAATAAAGTAAAGAAAAATAATAGATGAGTCTAAACTGAAGTGTAGATAATTAAAAAATAGCATTTTTAAATAAAATTGTACCTCCTTTGTTACATAAAACCCGTCTGATTTAATTTAATTCAATTATTTGAAGAGCTTTCCCATACGCGAACCTTTCAGAATTTTTGTTTATGGTCTTACTAAATAATATTGTAGTTCGATCGAAGAACTGAACCGGAATAACAATAAAATTTCGCAATATCCTAAAACCAAAGAAAATTTTACTTCTGAACTCAATTAAATTTACTAGATCTGAACAAGACTCCATAAGTTTTGATTTCAAATAAGAGAGCAAAACATGTCTATCATATCCCTTGCGCATTATATGGATTGCATAGTTTGCAAAGTTTTCCTATTGGAAAGCCGCTTCTACCGTGCACCATGCAAGGCATTTCACACTACTAAGAGAATACCCCTTATATGTTTGGAACGTTATCCACCATCTCCTGTCGAACCGCACTTTGATATCCATTTCTCTAATTTTCTACTTCCTTTATTGTTGCAGCTTTCATCAGCCATCCTATAAAAAGCGTCATGCGATTCGTGTATGAATTTTCAGGTTCTTAGTAATTTTGGTTTGATATATCTTCAAATTAAAACTAAATATTTCATTACGTATAAAAGAACTACTACGGAATAGTCCGTGTATTATAAGTATACGGTTTAAAGGTTTCAGTTGACTATTATAGGAAACAGATTTTTTCCCTATCCAGTGCAAATATCTCAAGACAAACGAATGAAGAATAACTCTTGTCAAGAGGACTTGGTAGGCAATTGAAGGGCAGAGCCCCTTCTTGGCAGACAAGAATTGCCCTGTACAAATGGCTTATCATGTCCATTCTTTTATATGGCACAGAAACACGGACAATGGCGAGCACAAATGAGAAGGCTTTGAGGGCTGTTGAGAGAACTATTCTACACAAGATCCATAGCCCTGTTCGCGTGAACGACGAGTTCCAAAGAAGATAGAATGACGAAATTTAAGGGCTTTTCATGGACTTTGAAAAATAGACAATGACTGTTGATTGTTGAAATGGTACGTCCAGAAGCCGAACAGAAAATAATAATGGCATATGATCGAATGTGTTATATCATTCTTCCTTTTTTACCCTGTGGAAAATCTCAAGATTTGAAATTAGAAAAGAAAACGCCGAACACGTAAACTTTACATTCGGCCGTGGATTATGAATCTGTATACCGTTTTCCAGATTAGATAATTTTCCCTAAGATGTTTTCATTTTTATGAAAATAAAATTCAAATTTTAACAGGGAAAATATTAGTGAAAAAAAGCAATATTTTTGAATTTTTGTTCCAAATATTTTAGATCTAATACTTTTTTCAAAAAATCAAGCTACTAGTGATGAAAATCGATGGATAAATAACAACCCTAGAATGGCCAAATGAAAGTATGCAATAGTTTTTTGTATGAAATCGGAGTAGAAAATAATGTTGCTCATACGCCATATCGTACATGGCATACTCGTGCATACTCTTACATGGCGTATGTACTCAAGGTTACTACCTTTCCCATGGTGAAGTTTGCATTTTCAGTTACTTGCACGTAACCAATCATTCTTCTTCCTAATTGGAACTGCAGCCGTCTTGCGGTTTGCGTCAAGATCAATTACTTCTCTTTTTAAAGTACCGCCAGGTCTCCTTCCATTGTGTTCGTGGGCATCATTGATTTCTTTGTCCACCCATGGGTACTCAGATAAAAGATCCTTTCACCGGAGCACCTTCATTTATAATTATGATATATCCATCCAGCGCCAGCGTATTTTTTTTGATACGCTTAACTATGTCAATGTCATTACAAAGCTCCGACGGTACGTCATTCCATTTCGCCAATATCCATCGCCCACGCCAACACTTGCATATAATAGCTTTCTCGAAAACCCCCAAAGCTTGTTTATATTTGTTTGCAGCCAATGATACCAAAAGTATGATATGAAAACCTCTTTATATTCGATTGGTACGAAAATAATAATATTACCCCAAATTTCTAAAAACTGAAACTATTGTATCATATATGTACCATTGTTTATTTGTATCTTAGCTTGCGTATGCATTCAATGCAAACATTCTATACAGTCTTTGAAATCAAGTGATGATCATAAAATTAGCTGTCGCTCAGTTACCGCCCAGTTGACAATTGAAAACAGTGAAAATGTTTGTTTTGTTTACATGCCAATTTGTTAACGTCGGCGACAATGCAAAGCCAATTGTCCGCTTCACTTAACAATAAAACAGTTGCAAGTGGACACACGCACTTAAAAGTATACATACTACCCTGCAAAAAATGCGACTAATCCGTTATGACTCCGGGAACAACGGCAAAGGAACATGCGACTAATACGACTTTTGATCTTTTTATATGGAATGAACTGACTTATTGTTCCTCTTCCACCCGAAAGGGTATAAAAATCAAATAGTCGCTATTAAAAAATAAATATAAATAGCAACGCCAATAGTCTCTCTAAACGTTGCGCATACATTACATTACATTAGAGATGGGTCGGCCACTAATTGATCTCCAATTATACCCGTATAAGACTAGCTGCGACTAAATGATGCTAAATTATACAGGTTGAGACTACTCCCGGAATATTCTCTTTAGAAATTCGTCAATCCTTATCAATTCGTCCTGAAATATGCTACCCAGAAATGCGATTACTTTATAAAAAAGAGAATCATTTCGAAATATGAGTATTTTTACCCTCTACGAAATTATTTATGCAACCTCACATACGCGGTTTTGCATTATCTTGATACGCGGTTTTGCATTTTGCTGATACGCGGTTTTGTACTTTAAACGGCGATATAAACCCTGTGTACACATACGTATGTACAAACGTTTAATGCACATACTTTACTTTGTCTATATGTATGTATATAAAAGTAGCAGTTTACATTTAAACACTAATGTTGCCTATTTATGCCATGATAAAATGAATGTAGTACATACATACTAGGGTGGCTATCAAAAATGCTGTTTTTGAAATTTCATCAACCTACCCCCTAATTTTATTAGTTTTTATGAGAAATATTATTGCCTATTTTTATAGATTTTTTAAAGGCCATGTATTGGTCGCGACTTGTCGATTAATCTCAGAAAATACGATTTTGTAGATTTATGAGTTTTGGGATGACTATTTTTGTCTCAATTTCAAAGATCTAACATGATCTGAGAAGAGGATATATAGGTCTTTAAAATGGTGTATAATAATCTATTGTCGGACTTGTTTTAGAGGGATTTTTTATCGGGTAAGTTAAAAAAAATAACATATTTCTCCTAATTTTTTTAAATTTTGACCATCAACAATTTCCCCAATTTCAAAATATGTAGTTCCCTAAATTTAAATCTATTTCTAAAAAAACGTATAGCTCA